TTGTCCTATTTATACCTGCACGAATCTATATTCACACGGACGTCACCGTTTTTGCCCAAAATGTACCTATCCCTTTTCTGCCTAAACTTATTACCGTTCCCTTTTCGGCCACTGTCATTTTTCGGCCAGTACCTGCAGTTTAACATATTATTAGCTTAGCCATATAAATTAATAATTAGTTTTTGTTTGAAAACTTTTACTTTTTTTGTATTTGGCACTCTTTAATGTAAGTTTAATTTCGTTCATAGTTGGTGTTTTGGAAATAAAGATAAAACAGTATTATTCATTGTTAGTTGTTTGATATAATACGATATAACTGTAATATATGAGTATATATAATTATCGTATAATGTAAAACGGACTCGATCAATTATAGTGTAATATCAAAATGTTTTGTCAATAATTTTATGTCAGACTGTCCTGATAACGTAAAATTAAAACAAAAAAATGTAATTTACTTCACTTTCAACGAACGCGTATTTTTTTTATCGATATTGTTATTATACAGGTATTATAAGGTTATATTAATTTTTATTCAACCATATTGTATTAAGAAACCTTAACTCTCAACTTAWGCATATTTTATTAGTAATGTAAGACTATATTAATTTTTATTTGATCAATTTAAAACGTTATACCTAACGGTTTATTGCCAATTGTTTTATTTTATTATTATTTTTTTCACAATGCAGTAATAGGTAATAATTTTAATAAAGAACCACTGACCGAAAAGGAAACGGTTAGTATTGGCCGAAAAGGGAAAGGAACATTTTTACCGAAAAGGGAATTATCTATTTAAATATTTGCAGAGAAACTACTTGTTAAAATTTTAAATTTTTTTTCTAAATAAAAATTTAAAAAAAAATTATCAACTAAATATACCACACTAAAATAAGGATGTTTTCATTGGAAAAACAAACTTTATATCGCTTCTGCACGACATTCTTTAAGTAATACAAAAAGTCTCAAGTATTCGAAAATACAATCTTTAAGTACATAAAAGTACCTAAATTTAAGAAATTCTGAAACTCAGAATTTGAATAAATTTATTACTAAATATATAAAACGAAAATTGGTTCTAACGTGCTTGKTATGAATATGCCTAATATTCAAATATTAAAAAATATTACCTAATAATTTAATAAATATTAGAACATATTTTCAAGTGAGATACCTACATACGTATTTATTTGTTTGGTTCAACAATTCTATTACTCACACTCGTGATATAATAGAGCCAATTAAAAATATTTTTTAAGGTACCTATTTGTCCGTTATATATTATATGAATAGAACACCATTCAGAGTATAATGAATTTTCAGTTTTTTTTTTAATATGGATTCTCTTCAGTACCGTGGTACAAATGCCCAGAATTTTGTATTTTTAATTATACTCACTATATTGTTGGTAACATCAATTATCTATTACTTTCCGAGCGTCGACAGTATACATATAGCGCCAATAATCGATACACGAATTGAATATTTGTTCTACATAAAAATAAAAATAAAACAATTTTCGAATCTTTTCTTATAACCATATTTTAATGGTAACCAATAAATTATCTGTACTGTTATACTTACTAATATGTCTGATGTTAATTTGTTTTAATCACTATAATAGGACAGGTGTTAAATTATTAAAATCATGTTTAAAGATATTAAAAATAAAAATGTCGACAAGTGGATACCACTCTGCTGAACGGTAGTTTTCGAGTACCTATGTCATTGTAATGTATGTAATGTATGTGTTATATTAGAATTCAATGATCAACTTTTAAAAACGTTTATGAACGGAGGCGTTGTGTCATACTAGCATATATTTTTATAAATAATCAAAATGAATAATAAAAAAAAAATTTWAAAAAAAAATTAAATAAAAATGAATAGGTCTCGTGGCTATAAACAGCTTAACTTTCCGATGAACTTTTAATTTGTTAACGGTATAATAAAAGCTTGTGAGAAATCTTCTATTGGAATTTCTTTTGTTAGTTATGAAAAGAAAAACTTAAATGAATTTCTAGTTGAAAATTACATTTAAAAAAAATATAAAATCGATTTTTCCAAATATGATTTTTTTTATTTATCCATCGCTTTTTAAACTTCTGATAAATTTAAATTTTTTGATAAATATCTCATATAGATCTCAAAGGTACCAACTAGATTAAATTTTCTATCTGAAAAGATGATGATTTCGAGTATTGGAGAATTTTTACTTCCTCGAAAATTAGATGACAGACAGAAAAAGCACACATCATTGTAAATAATATTCAATATGCTTAGAATCTAAAATTCAAAATGAATAATTTATAATGTTGTTTTTAATTTATTTTGACATTTGTTAACTATTATTTAATATTAAATAGGTATTATATAATATACTGTGATTGTAAATAATATTTTTGTAAATGGAGTTGTTACCGGTAATAAAGATTATTATAATAATAATATTATTATTTGTCTCGCAGTGCCCTATATAACTTAAGAACTTTTTTTAAATTTATAATTTTGAATGCTACAAGGTAAATTTTAAATTTTAAATGCTGTTTTAGGTGTATTGTCATAATATTTTAAGCTTAAAAAAATTAAAATCTATTAATTTATTAATATGATAATAATTTATTTATTGATAACCAATAAAATTAAAATATGTGTTTTCGATACTTATACAATGATAACATTTTTTTCGAAATATCATTTCTAAATTCTTTTAATTTTTTTTATGTTAMAGCTGGATTTCGATGTGGTCGGTTTTCGATTTTTTAATGGTTTTATGCATTTGCATTGTTCAACTATCGGCCAAAGGCGCAGTTACGAACACGCCGTGTACTATTATTGATAATTGCTGCGTTCGAAACATGACCAACTTTTGGAAACACAAAACTGAGTTGCGCTGTTCAGAGATCCAAATCATACCAGTTGTTAACGAGATAATACACGTTTTGTGAGTAAAATGTATACCCATTTTGAAGGGTTTTGATTTTATTATTTTATTAAATAATTTATTTTACTGTACTATATTTTTTAAACGTAAATCAAATCTTCGACATTTTCAAAATGTATCCTAAATGAAGATGTCAAGTTATTGTTACCATTATGATTTTTTCAACTACAATAGAATAACCATAAAATAGCTGTCTTCTTATAGTGAAAAAAATACCCAACGTAGGTTATACATTTACATATCCTTTGCCGTACATAACAGTATAACACCATTATTTTTTCRCAACTTTTCGATTTGGTATACCTACTGTTAGTACATAATATTCTAAAGAAGCGGCATAACTAGCCAAATAACTAAAGGGAAGGGGRCAATATAATTTATTCACTAAAATTGAGACCATAATCTAATTGATTGATTTTGCACAAGTCCTGAAACTCGTTTTATGGCTTGGAAATAAAAAAAAACGTGTCACTCATATCGTAAATAATATTAAGTACATAAGAGTTCATAAAAAAGTGCAATAACTTGTTTGAAAACAAATAATGTGAAGATAATCCTGTAATCATAATTTATGAATTAATTGGATGGAACACATTAGTGACAACAACGCAAGATGGGAAAAGAGAATTGGATAGTACAACAACGCACTATCTCAGATACCTAATGGCTATACGAGCAGGTGTAGCGACATCTTAATCATTTGCATAATTTTTATAGTTTAAACCGCAGTGAAAATTAATTTTACAAAATAATTAAAGATTTAATCATTTTATGAATTTTATTTAATGATCAAAAATATAAATTTTTATGATTAGGTATATAATATTATGGAAGACTAAAGATTTTTAATATTTTTAAATATTTCAAGTACAATAATCATATTCCTTGTTAATATCATTCACATTAGTTCGATTTAAATATATTACATTTATTCAACCATATAACCATCACTTTGAACARTATAAGTTTAAACAGAAGAATAGGGGTTGTAGATTTCAAAGTTTATTTTTATTCACGATTTTAATCATTTTTTTTTTTGTTTAGAAAGAAAACAAAAAGGCTTTATGAGTTCTATAATCTATTAATTAAAATTATTTATAAACACCCTTGAACGAAAATATTTCAATATTTACAAATACACAAAAAAATTGTGTATCTCCAGTTATATATAATAAATGATAATAACTATATAGGTCAATATTCAACTACTGTGGTGAAGCGTGGCGTGTATATTTATTTTAATATAGCAAGGTAATGCTTATTGTAAAGATCAAGTGGAAAATCTATTCTATGCATGCATATAAAAAATAGGTTTATTTAAGTACCTAATTAAAATGTTTTTGAAAAAAGGTCATTATAATTTATAAATTAATATGTTTAAGAAAGACTCAATCCCCGC